CGACGGACGAATACTCCATCTTCATGAAGTACATGACGGGTCTGAACGAATACATCCGGAAGGAGATGAAGCTATTCACGGTCGAGTCTATTGCAGAGGCAAGCGTGAAAGCTATTGCCATCGAAGGCAAGCAAAAGAAGAGAAACGAGGCAAAAGGAGATGCAAAACAGACGGGAGAGGAGTCTAGTGGTTCCAAACATAAGGAGGAAAAGAAAGGTGATCTAGGGAGAGCAGAACTGATTTGTCGTCACTGCGAGAAGACATGACATATCGCTGATCGATGTTGGGAGAAGTATCCTCATCTCAAGCCAAGGGGGTTGAAGAAGAAAGAGGAGAAAAAGACATACGTGATAACACAGGGTTCGAAGAAAGTTCCCGGGATGACAGAGCCTTGATTTGTCGTCACTGCGAGAAGACATGACATATCGCTGATCGATGTTGGGAGAAGTATCCTCATCTCAAGCCAAGGGGGTTGAAGAAGAAAGAGGAGAAAAAGACATACGTGATAACACAGGGTTCGAAGAAAGTTCCCGGGATGACAGAGCCTAATAGCAATCTCAATCTTATGGCGGGGAAGCAGACCACGAAAGAAGACGAAGATCCCAGAGAAAAGAATTTGATATCCGAGGCCTTGGTTCAGAAGCTGGGTCTGAAGATAGTCAAGCATCCGAAACCCTATCCATTGGGGTGGATTCAGAAGGAGACGGGACTAAGTGTAGTTGATCAATGCACTGTCAGATTTGCGCTCCACGAGTCGTATATTGACGAGGTCACGTGCGACGTCGTTCCATTAGATGTTTGTCAGGTTATACTGGGCAATCCGTACTTATAGGATAGATACGCAATCTACGAAAGGTGGGCTCAGAAGTACACATTCACCAAGGAGGGTGAAAAGTTCATATTTCGTTCGGCGTCTCTTCCGAGGGAGACAAACTTGGCAACGGTGATGCGAGCGGAGAGGCTAGTAAATGCAAGCAAGAAGTTCATCTTGTTGTGCATTAGGCTTCATGACGAGCCATCGAAAAGGAGTTGCATGTTGGAGCGGAAGACGACTACGATGAGGCGAGGAACGAAGGAGTCGTTTCCAGTTGTACGTCGATATCAGGTTCCTAGCAAAGCCAGGTAGTACAGAAAGGATGGAGAAGCTCGTGAGTTTCCTCAGCTGAAGTTCTAACTTGAATAGGACTTCAAGTTCCTAAAGGGGGGACTTATGATACGGGTGTATCTTCTCTTCGGAACTTAGCGATCCTCATGGGAGCTTGAGGATAGATGATTCTCATGGTAACTTGAGAATAGAGGTGTAAAACAATACAATGGAATGCAGGTTAAAGCGTGGAACGAGACGGCGAATCGAAGAATCGAAGCATCCAGTTTTTAGCCTGTGAGTCGACTCATACATGTACATGAGTCGACTCATCTGGTTGAGTCGACTCATGCCTGTCATGAGTCGACTCACGAAACCTAGCCGTTTTATAGAAAGTTTCTGACCAGTCGACTCATAACTTCATGAGTCGACCTATGAGTCATGAGTCGACTAATATATGCACATGAGTTGACTCATTGATGGTTTCCTTGTTCGTTTGGGTTTCTGCTTGCACGAATTCCTGTGGGGTTTGGGCTTGGTTATTTTGTAAAACCCCAAAATTTTTATAATGAATATATGTGAATTATTAATAATAAATAATTCTCTTATGATAAATAATATATATATACATATATATATATCAGATGAAAGTGATTATCTGTGTTTGAGAACCCATCAAGTGATTCTATGTGAGAGAAATCGAGTGAATACTCAGCATAGTATATGACTAGCAGCAACAGGCATTTTTCTACTGTGCGGTCGACCGCGTCGGTCGACCGTACAGCGGTCAGAGAGTTCTCTCAGTTTCGAGTTCAAACGGGTTTCGGGTCAGGTTTGTGGTTTAGTATATAGACTAATAACCCGAGAGAACCCCATTTTCTGATCTGAAGTCAAAACCCTAGCCCCCCTCTCTTCCCTAAAACCCTAACTCTCTTTGCTTGGTGATTGGGAGGAGTTCTTGAGGATTTTCAGCGGGATTGTGGGATTTCAGCGAAGGGGATCAACCTCCTGCAGATCTAGGGATTCATTTCTCACCAGAGGCGAGTAACTTCTCACCCAACTCCACCCCCTTTTGTTTTCATGTCAAAACTTGAGTTTTATTTGGTTTTATTGAGCCAAAATCGTATTTTTGAATAGCTAATAGATCATTATGGCTCATAATATGAGATTCAGGTATTTCCTTATTTTAAAAGCTCACCAATGAATTTTATTATGGAGGTCTAGATCTGAATACGTTTTAAAAGGAGAAAATTTCTGTTTTTATTGTTAACTATACATAGATCATGTTTAATTATGTTTGGGATCTTGGTAATGATTTCTAAATGTGTAAGATTTCTTTATTTATCTGTTATATGACAATTTAAATGTGCTATATTGCTGCTTAACTCAAGAGAGAAAGATAGACAGGTTTCGAAGCTGACAGAAAACCCAGATCTGGGTTCTGTCTGCCTCGCGGTCGACCGCATCGGTCGACCGCAGGGCGCGCAGCAAGGGCAGAGCAGCGTCTGCCCTCTCCACGGCGGTCGACCGTGACGTCTTGGCGGTCGACCGCACCGGTCGACCGAGGGCATACACGCTGAACAGTAGAATTTATCTCCGTGTGCGGTCGACCGGTGCGGTCGACCGACGTACAGTTTTGTGCATTGTTAGATTTGCTGTATGTTTCATGTGTTTGGGGGTTTTTCCTCGATTATCAAATACTAGTTTTAGCTTTTGCCATAAACCTAAGCATGATAGATGACCTGAGGGTACCAAATATAGAATCACATGCCGAGGCGAGCGTGAAATTTGTATAAGTATATCTCCTCATACATCTCATCGATGATTACTATTTGGCCCATGTGGTGGGAAAACTATGTTAAACTCAGTCCTCGTGTTGGACAAGCATTACCTTTTTAGTCCTCGTGTTGGACACCCTTCCCACTTAGTCCTCATGTTGGACACGCATTGCTATTTAATCCTCGTGCTAGATATGCATTACCATCCGGTCCATGCGTTGGACAACGGTCACATCTGGTCCATGCGTTGGACAATGGTCACATCCGGTCCATGCGTCGGACAACAGTTATATTCAGCCCATGAGTTGGACGTTTACTTCATCCAGTCTATGGGTTGGAAGTTTAATTTATATAGTCTATGTCTTGGACACTTAATCGTTTTCTGACATGTCACTCATGTGAGTTTGACATGACACTATGTTTGGAAGTAGAGATGTGTTTTGTATTCTTTTTAATTTATTCATTTATGTATTAGACTTTGGGTTTGGCATTTAGGGATTTACAATTTGAGATATAAGGTATATACATGAGGGTTTCCTTGTTTGGATTATTTCGCTCGACGTACCTATGCTCGTGTTGTAAATTTCTAAATACTAAAATCCTCTTTAGTAAGATCAATGATTTTAGATCTATTATGTATTATCTATATTTTCTTATACAACGAGCCATGTTCCCTCGGGGTTGGTTGTGATGTTGCTCGCTAGCGCTTTGACGCTTGTTGTTCCTCCCCCTTTCAGGTAACGAGCCAGGAGCCCGGAGAGTCGCAGGTTGATAGCGACACACTTTAGTGTTCAGCTATCTAGTTTAGCTAGGATTTATTTTGGGGCTCCACTGTAGATTTGTTTGACATATGAGGACTATTCTCTAGATGTTGTAAAGGCGGTATGCCCTATTTCCTTTACTCAGATATTTGTACTTGAGACTTGTTGAGTATTCCAGTTATCTATTCAGACATTGGCTATGTATTTCTGTATGTTGGATGATGAGATATTTATGTGATCACTATCACTTCATCAGTTATTTCTTGCACTATCTTTTACTTGCTTTTGTACCTACACCTATTGTTGACTCTGCTGATAGATGTTAATTGTGATGGTGAAACATGTTATTGCACGGTGAGATGCAAGGCAGGTTTGACATTCTTGGTTTCACCTTGGACTGTAGCCTTGTGTGAACCCAGTGGCATCACAGTTGGTATCAGAGCTCTAGTTCCAGTATCCTTAGGATCATCCTGTGTCGAGTCGTGGAGCTAGGATAGAGTTTCTTAGGATTCATGTATAGAGTCCGATAAGAATTTCCTAGTACGAGTGAGGACGATATATGCGTATATCTCAAAAAATTTGAGAATTTTTTTTTGTATGATAACTATTTTTTGTGTAAAGTGTTTGTATGAATACTATGCGTTGTGAAAATCGTATGGTGACACGTTATGTATGTATATATATACATATCTATTTTGACTCATGAACTCTTTTTGTTATATGCTTAGATGTCAGACTATGGTATGCCACGTACTCGGAGACCTGGACAGGCTAAATCGCAGCAAACTCCACCCGTGCTACATCAGACGCTACCTGAGCCGCAGCAGGCTCCCCAGTACCTAGTAGATATTATGGCTCCCTTAGTCTCTAGGATAGCAGCAATAGAAGAGCATTTGGCGAATCATATTGTACCACCATTATCAGTAGCTGAAACCGCCATTTCTTAAGAAAATGAGGCAGCTAAGCTTCAGAAGGACAAGGAAGGGCACCCCGGAGACAAGGGTAAGAACAAGAGACCTTCGTCTGAACCTCAGCAGCGGCAGCAGGGCCCTCATAAGAAGGGACCCCAGCAGGATCAGAGAGCGCATCAGCAGCGCAAGTTCCGGGGATCTTGTTTTAACTGTCGCAAGGTCGGACACAAGGCAATAGAGTGCCGCAATGCACCAACAAGAGCTCAGAAGAGATATGGTCCGAATCAACAGCAGTACAAGACTGAGGGGCAGGTTCTAGCAGTTTAGGAAATTCCCCAGGGGCAGATTGTCCCATATTCTCCAGCACCAGCGTCAGAGCAGTCTTCAGCCTCTGGCAAAATGTAGGCAGTAGTTCTGCATGATCATGGGGCTAACGGAGCAGTTGTGGAGGGTACATTCATCATGAACCCTTTTTCCCACCCTTATTCTTTTTAATTCGGGAGCTTCACGTTCTTTTGTTTCGTATGTTTTTATGGCTAGACCCCAAATCGTAGCTCAGTCTCTAGACACCCCTTTATCTGTTTCCACCCCTTTAGGTGAAATATCGCTTCTGGAGAGCAATTATAGGAAGTGTAGCGTTAGTTTAGATGAGTCGGAGTTCATAGTTAATTTGATAATGTCA